CGCAGTGTTGGGAGCCAAGAACACCCGCCGACAACACAATAATCTGGACGCTCGATTGGCAAGAGCCATTATTCGCCCTGTGAAGACTGGACTGGACTGGACTGGAGCGCGCGATATTGAGAAATTCCTTAGTTTCAAGGCCACGGTGGTTACGTGATGGTTAGTTTCCCGTTCCGTTTTATTTAGCTGTTGATTAGGGCCAGAAAAATTCAAGTCAAGAGGGTGGAAAGAAGGATGATAAGGTAATTCTTTTTTCCACCAAACCTTTGCTTTCAGACTAAACGACGTGGGTTCGACCCGCCTGTGCCTACCAGGATGGGGAAACATAAAAGATGCAAAGGCCCAGATAGTGCCAGTAAATTACCGCAAGTCACACCACACACTCGCTGCAAGCTGAGGCTTCTCAAAATGGAGAGAATAAAAGACTATTTACTTATGGAAGAAGAGTTTATCAAAAATCAGGAACGTTTAAAAACAGATGAGGAACGTCACGAGGTGCGATTGTATTAACATTGAGTAACGACTTGTGATAGGAGGAACGATCAAAAGTGGATGATTTACGTGGCACGCCTATGTCAGTTGGCACGTTGGAAGAGATTATTGATGACAACCATGTTGTTGTCTCAACTTCTGTTGGCAGCGAGCACTATGTCAGCATACTGTCTTTCGTAGATAAAGGAATACTCGAGCCAGGCTGTTCAGTACTGTTGAACTACAAGGTAAGCGTTATCAGTGTTAATTGTTCATCAGTTTTAGGTTCATGCAGTTGTGGGAGTCCTAACTGACGAGGCTGATCCCATGGTCACGGTCATGAAACTTGAAAAGGCTCCACAGGAAACGTATGCTGATATCGGTGGCTTAGAAGCCCAAATACAGGAAATCAAAGAATCAGTAGAGCTACCTCTTACACATCCAGAGCTTTACGAAGAAATGGGTATCAAGCCCCCCAAGGGAGTTATTCTCTACGGAGCCCCGGGCACTGGTTAGTTTAATGTTTGTTGCTTTTGTACGGCTGTCATTGAGATTCTTCCTTGACATCCGCGTCTTCTGTTTATTATCCACCATCCATGAATCCCCATGCTCGATCTGCCGATCCGTCATTGCATCGCAACTAGGCAACTAGCACTTTTAGTAAGAACATCACAAGAATCTCAGGTTCTGTATTTGTAGACCTTCAACCTGAAGAATTGTACGGGGTGGTCAACAAGCTTGTATCACACTACC